TTTTAACTCCTATTTCGGAAATAAAAGTATAGAACTTCTATTTCGTTATATTTTCAATGTTGTGCTCCTGTTTTAGTCTTTTTCTCTATTTCAAAATATTTGAGTGTCGAAATCGAGTCTGGAAAATATTTTATGTGTTACAAGATGTTTGAAATATTTTGAATAAAATATCTTTGAGAACTAAAAAATATTTTAAAATATGAAAACAATCTGACTCGATAAATCTTTTGAAAAAGATAGAAATATTTTTGAGCAGACTGAAAGGTATTTTTGAACACACTTAAAAAAAATCTTGGCCACAAAAAATCTTTTTGAACTAACTGAAAAAAATATTCTTGAAAAGACAAATGTTACTCATATTGAACAGACAAAAAGAACAAAGTACAATTAATTATAGATTTGTTGCGACCACGTGTGTCTTCACCCTAACCCTGCATTATTATAATATTGTCCGCTCTGAGTTAAGCCCTCATAGATTTTTTTGGGCACCTCTCAAAAGGGTTGAACTAATGAAGCTGAGGTAACCATTAAATATTGGTTCCCTTTCTCTTTTACACACAGTGCAGGAGGGGTTTGACACCCACAACAAGCCTGCCCTCAAATCCGGGCTACACAATCACGTGAACTCCCCTCTAGTGATTATCTGTTTCTGATCTGCCATCTTCTTATACCGTCGCAAGAACCCATGGGACACCCTGCCCCACCACGCGTCTCTATCAGGAAGACTTTCGACACAAGGCATTCTTGCAGACCTTTTACCCCATTAGCCTAGAGATCACCTCTTAGTCTAATTTGGCCCACCGCCGACTTCGCACATCACAAGCCACCATCTACACATCTTTCAATCCTATTTGGTTGACACATTGTCCCCCCGTGAACTCCACACAACATAAGGTAGCATTCGCCAGCTCTTGTTGGCACACCATTTCACAGGGCACTCCTGCACAACACCTGGATCCTCTGCGGATCTCGTAGGTCCTTCCCATGTTGGCCAATGTCGCTCTGAGAACTCCGCATGCATAGGTTCGCTACTCCGTCCTCCAAACATGGGCTCCGATACCACATGTTCAAACCGCGTGTGCCCTCACTCCAACCCACATTAGTATGATATTATCCACTCTGGGCCAAACGCTCACAAATTTGTTTTTGGTCACCTTCCAAAAGGGTGAAAGTGTCTCATACTTGAAGGTGTAAATTAACCACCAGGGAAAATAGTAATAGACCGAGTATAGGATAGTTCGCTAATTCAGAGAATGAAAGAGTGCAAAAAACAAGGATTGACCGGGAGGACTGTATGTGGAAACATCTGTAGTCCAATTATTATTAAGTATGTGGAAGAGTACTGGGAGGTATTACACAATATTCTCTAGAGAGATAAAGTTCTGGCTCTCTTCATGTAAGGGTTATAATGGTATTTATTAAGGGTGGGCACGGATTGGGACGGTCCGGGTTTTAGGTTGTCCCGCGTCTTGTCCCGTTATATATAAATGGTCTGGAACGGTTCGGATTACAATCTTATCCCTGTTTGTCCCATAAAATTCGGGATCGGAATAAACCGAGACAGATTGGGTTCGTCCTACTTTGTCCTAATCGTAAATATAAGAAGGGGAAGAGGATGACATTTCATTCAAAAAAAAGAAACATCTAGCCACCCAACAAAAAATAATGAGTAGAACGGGTCCAAATAAATTTCAAGCCTATGAAGTTAATTTAATTAAATAACTAATTAATTAAAGAATGAGTGTATTTGGATTTTAGACTAGAATTAGTATTATATATTAGTAGAGTAGATGAAACGGGACAAACAGGACGGATCGGTATAAATTTAAGCTGTCCCGCTCATGTCCCATTTGATATTGGGACGGAACGGGTTCGAGATAAAAAAAAATGTGTCCCAATATATCGGTACAATTACAAAACGGATCCGGGATTTTTTGGAATGATCTAACGGGAACGGATTTCACGCCCACCCCTAGTATTTATAAGAAAATGGAGGGGAGAAGGTGAGGTGACTTCCTCTTGTCCTGTAGTGTGAGGTAACTTCCTCTTGTCCTGTAGCATTTTGTCTTATTCTCTTGCATCTTGTGCTGATGACACCTTTAATTGGCGCATCGCACCCGGTTGGGGATGTTGGAATATTCCCTCAATCTTTTGCTGAAAATCATTCACTACTGTTCAACCAACTTTGGAGTTATTAAAGGTGAAACTTTCACACCATAATAACTACTGGTTGGTTCACCGGTCGTGCATTCTGAAGAGGTAGAAGACCACCAGCATGAAGTCACGTACTATGACCGGTAGGTTTATATTTTGTACTGGTCAGATTTTCGAAACCGACCGGTCATCTATATTTCAGGTTAACTCTTCCATTCTGATATATTTGAATTTGACTGGTCAACTACTGTGGACCAGGATTCGGACCGGGTGCTGGGTAGAATACACCCATCAATAAGCCCTCCACTTCCTGGCCTTGTAAATTTTTAGGGAAAGTGAAAAATTGGAATCTAGTGCTTGAAATTTGAATTTTAAGCTTTTCCCGCCCAAATTTTTGAATTTAAATTTCAAAAATAAACAATTTGACACGAGTCGCGCTCTTCTCGTACGCCATCATTGCACTCTGCACATGCCGTTTTGCCTTCCCACGTGCCACGTGTGCGTTGACTGACGCGTCGCTTCCTTCGCATGCCACACATCGCGCTGTCTTCCTCCTCATTTATATAAAGGCCTCTTCTTTATTCTTCATTTCACTTTTTGCAAATCCTCTCAAATTTTACTCGGTCAAGTTCGTCCTCAGCCCTTTGAGTCTTCTAATTTCCATGTAAGTTCTCGGTTCCTCTTTGTCTTTCATTACTGGTTATGTCTTATGAGGATAGCCAAAATGTTTCCGCTACCTCGTATGCATCTGCATATGAGGATTCCATTCCTTCTTCTTCTTCTTCCTCTTCATCTTCATCATCATCTTCATCATCATCTTCTTCTTATTCTTTGTCTCCTTCCCAGGAGGGGCCGGTTCCCGAAGGGTGTTCCAATTCCCAATCCCGCTCCTATCATCCAGGAATTGGGTCTCTTTGACCCCGACCAAGAGACCCGGGAAGAATGGGAACACCGCCTCTAGGAAGCAGGTTATTTTCCACTCCATTCTGATATTGTTAGGGAGATTCCTTTGGTTGTTACGAAATTCGCTCTGAACAAAGCAGACCGGTTGCTCCTTGACGGTTATGTCCTCAAGTATAACCCCAACTTGGCACCCAAGATACAACAAACAACTGATGAATTCCAGTAGTTAGTAGATTCAATAACATCCTATGTGGTGAATTGGGCAACTAAATTTCCTTTTACCTCAGATGCCGGGATGAAGTGAAGATCCAAATCAACTAGTCCAGGTACAACTTCTACATACGAAGGTTCCCCCTCCTGCTTAGGGATCGCCTCTGACTCTCTATGATCCGGAACTACCTCTTCATCATCCTTTGATTGTGGCGTCAGATCTGTAGCTCATCAATAGCTTGTTCCGTATTCTTTTTTGCACTTACAAGCTCATGACTCTTAGCCGAATCTCTTGTATCACTCGCCGATGTGTTACTTGGGATCACCTTCTTGTTTGGATTGCTCGTCGGCGTATTGTTGAACAACTTACGCACCTCTAGAGGGGGGGGGGGGTGAATAGAGGTGTTCTTCAAAAACCAAAACTTTTGGAAGATTAAACAAAAAATTGGTAGGATTATGCCAACCACAAGAAGACAAAGAAGAAGAGAAGGAGCAACACACGATATATACTGATTCGGCCTAAATGCCTACATCCAGTCCCCGAAGCAATCGTGCCCAGGCCTTCACTAACCCGTCAAACTTAACGGAGTTTGACAATCCGAATACAACCCGAGAACTTGATTTCACAAGCCTCTTATCTTACCACCGAAGTTTTGATTTCACAAAACTCAGGATTTCTTCCACCTAACGTTTGATTTCACAAACCGTTAAGATTTCTACCACTTGGTGTAATCCCAACACCAAGAGTACAAATCTCTTACAATAAAGTAAGAAAACAAACCGCAACCGAGTAATTCTCCCAACACGGAGTAGATTATTGCAAATACAATGAAGTCCTTTAGAATATGGCAATATCTCTCAAACACTCAAACAATGTGGAAAAACTCATGCAAGAAATGATTTAGCAATCAAAACAATTGTCTTGCTTGGATACAAGGAGGGGTTTGAGTAGAATCTCTTTGGATATTCAAAGGATATTTTCTTCAAAGTGTTCTAAGTGCTCTTATGAAGATAATCTTGAAAGTAGTAGTTTATAGAAGTTAGGGAGTGGATAGGGATGAAAAGCATTCAAAAAACTAGCTGTTTGGTAGTTGAAACTGTCGACTTATTCGAATAATTCAAGAACTATTCGAATAGTTTGGATCAATCGCATGGCTTGAAAAACCAGTTCCTATTCGAATAAATGGTGATTTATTCGAATAAATCAGTTTGAAAAACCAAGACTTATTCGAATAAATGGTGGTTTATTCAAATAAAACAGGTTAATCTCAGTCACAAGAAAGATCACGACTTATTCGAATAAACTAAAAATTATTCAAATAGAAAGGCAACTTTTCCACACAAAGGCTGATCTAAAATGTGTTTTAAAGGTAGGATGATAACGGAATGAAGCTTAGATATGCCATACTCTTTAACACATAATCTAAGACCTAAAACACTACCCAACTAAGGAAACAACCTCTTCGGTCTCGTTCCTTCCACCGATGCTCAAGTCCCTTCTTCACGGACAGATATTTTAACACCCCAACCCGCGTAACCCGAACCGACGAGTTAGCGAATCGGGTTGTTACTAGTTTGGTATTCACATGCATAATATTTTGAAAACATTTAAAATAAAACATACATTTATATTTAATGAAAAACAATTCATAATTAATCGGAGTAAATAACTCAAACATTGCGGAAGCCTTTAAAACAACATCGTCAAACATTCTTGTAGTTTAAACAAAATAAAAGTCAACAAGTATTTAATTCAATTTCAAACAGAATCGGGCCATCCACCAGCGTCACACTTCACTGTTCTCCAGGCTGCTCCTCATCCAATCCTTGATCCCTACCGGTAAAAAAATAGGGAGAGTGGAAGTATCTAACGCTAGAACTAACTCATAGACTAGCACCCATCAATATATAATCACACAATATCAGAAGAATTAGCAAATATCATTGCCGAATACCATGATCAACTATTTATTTATTTATATCCAGTTCTTGTTGTTCTTCTACACTTAACCCTATAGGCTAAGGTTCCTTTTGACTAACTAAGTCGTGGACACTCAGACGGATCCCCCGAGGCCACGCTTGATGAAACCCAAAGAGAATCCTCAATGGGCGGGTTGGAGCCCCTACAAAGGAATCCCTAGGTAGGCTAATGACTCCCGTACGTACGTTTTTAACCCAAGACCCGTGAGTTATGCGAAGCTCGCCCCACCGGGCCTAAATCCTAGATCTTAATCCTTGTGAGTCTGCTTTAACTCAGATCTTCCTAGATATACCGGATGGCCTATTTCCATAATTTCAATTTAACACACAAATATCCTCAATTCAGTAGTCTAGAAGTTTTCGGCTATTTTGTATTCATTGCTTTATTTGGCATCAAATTGTAAAAAAGGAATTAGTTGCAACCAATTAAAAATTCTAGGGTCAATTGCAATTCCTTACAAACTGTACGTTGTCTCCGATCTGGCCATTGCGACTTGCATCTTCTTCGTGTAGTTCCCGTCGGCGAGCAGGAACTTGGCCGGCATCCTAGCGACTCCGGCAGCGACCAGCAGCTCCACGCCAAAACAACAGCGGCGGAACAGTTCCTCCGATGGTAACAGGACGAACTTCCTGTTCCGTTCCCAGCAGCAAACCACCGGCGGCCCAGCACCAGTCCGGCGGCATTGAGTTCTCCCTCCGGGAATCAGCGGCACAGAGAGGGAGTAGCAACCGATTGAAAGGACAGAACAGATGGACGAGGAACAGAACAGAGCGAGGAAAAGGACAGAGAGAAGGCAGAAGAACGCAATAGAACAGAACCGAACAAGAACAATACAACTCCGAATTCAACTCAATTCAATCCAATCAATTAATTCAACAATTCAATTCACAAATTCATCCTCAATTACACGAAAATATATGGACGAACCCTAATCTATGAATTAACTCTAACGAGAGATAAATCACTCACCGCGATTGACGAATTGAACCCTTGTAGAACTCCGGCGAAGATTTCCGGACGAAACTCTTGGTCTGCTCGGTTCCGTTGCGTTGCAGAAGAAGGAGAAACGGAAGATATTCTGACGTAAAGAAGGGACTACTTCTATTTATAATATAAATAGGTATAAGCTCCAATTCGATTAGGATTAGGAAAAGTACATTCTTCTTTATTATTATTATTTATAATATTATGTTATAAAATTCTTTATATTTATATATTGAACTGAAATGTCTATTTTACTCATCACGTTTACACAAAAGTTCAAACTTAACAAACTATATATCGTTGGTCACCATTTTACGAGGTCTACTCGAAAACCTAATTTTTAATTAAAATGGTCAACTTTACAAATAATTCATATTTTGAAGTCAATAAATAATATATTCATTTTTATTAACATAACAACTAACTACTAAGCCGGGTTTTAGGGCGTTACAGATATGAACTTGTTATAGCTTTGATTCTTAGCCTTGATGCACAGTATGATGATGATGTTTTGTCACCCTTTTGTGATTATCAAAACCTAAAAGACAATGAGCAAAGGACATTGAAAAAATATATATTCATGATAGCACATTGTCCAACACGTGTTATATGGGATTGTCTTCTTCCTAGGCCTTCCTCGTCTCCGTGACATGGCTAGAGCGAGAAAGCTAATTTTCCTCTCTTAAATCTTAATTTTAAAAATAAGTTTCGAGAACAGAGGTACTATTGGTACTAATGTTTCAAATCACATGGGGCTCTGAAGCTATTTAGCCTTTTTAGTTCATGTAAATCTGGGTGGGACAGACCCACCCATATAAATAGACCGGTGCGGATATGTTGTTGGACATGTCTAATCTACAAATGTGTGTGTTATACCCGAGCATGCCCTACCCGAACTCATGAAAGTGCCACAAGTGTTCAAACAAATCAAGGGATTAATGGTTAAGTGTTATAATCCTTATTGGGTTGATTTAAGTCCTTTCTTCCATTCAAGAACACCAACCAACACCCTTGTTGTTTTCAACCCCCCTGGCCGCCCCAACCATGTCCACACCCACCCTAAACATCCAAAACACCTTGCTCTTTATTTCCTTTCAAAAATAAAGTCTTCCTACACCTATTTCCACCCCATGGCCGAAATTATGAAGAAGACAAACCATAAACCTTTTGTTTGTTGTTATTTCCTTCTTTTAAACATGTTAATAAAGAATTGCACCTTGCTCTTGCTCCTTTTCCTACCTTGGCTGAAAATACCCAGCCAAAACTCCTCCCCAAACCCATGCCATAACCCCATCCTTGCTTTCCATTATGCCCATCAACTTGGATACACAAACAGCCACTATGACCCAAAATATAATGGTCCACCATTCCACTAATTAGGCCTCACCTTGTTCCCCATAAATTACCCACAAGAAGCCCCCAAAACAACCAGCCATTTCCTGCATAATCCCTTCCCCTTCTTGGCAAAAATATTCCCCTCCAAATCACCAAAGGAGATGCCATTCATTTCCCCCTGATGTGCTTTCACTAAAGACCCTACAACCACACCCCCATCTCTGAATTTCCCCCCACCAATAGGACAATAATGAATGGCTCTTGTTTTTCTTTGATTTCTGTGAATAAGAGACCTTAGAGTCTCCTTTATGTATCTATATAAACTCAGGTCCTATGGCCATTGTAGAACATCTTTGAATATTAAAAACCTTTTACTCTTTGAGTTTTATTAAAATAGTGTAATGCTATTTTAGCCAAATTTCTAATTCTATATCTTAAGAGTGGTTATTTTAAGTGTGGGTTTTAGGTTCTAGATATTTGATTAAGTGTGTCATATCTTAATTAAATTCTAGATTCAAACCCCAAGTTAGGATAAGAGTGTGTAATATCTCTTAAACACCAACTTGGTTTATCCATCCTTGATTTTCTTCCATTTCAAATCTCCACATTTCTCTTCTTAACTTTACTCTTTTCCTCCATTAAAAACACCCAAAAGAACTCCTTCATCGTCTCCATACTTTTCCAGCCATTCCCCCACACAAAACATCCTTCTTCCTGCCCAGAATTCCGCCAAATAATCGATTATCCTTAGTGACAATCGATTATCAGTCACCGTTGAAACACCTGCAGCCTTCAACAATCGACTGTCACCTTTTGACAATCAATTATCCATACTTCTTTGAAACACCTACAGTCTGCATTAATCGATTATTAGTTATTGATAATCGACTATCTACCCTCCTGAAACTTCTGGGTTTAGCAGCACAGCTCCACAATCGATTATCATCTAGCCATAATCGATTATCACTTGCTCCTGAAAGAACAACTTGTCTATACCCCGGGTCTCGAGTATAACAGTGTGAGAAGGTTATGGCAAATTTGGCTACGACCACAAATGCTTACTTTTTTTAAAAAATTTTTTGACATGCAAAGGTAGTGGTAAAAATCCCCAAACTGTTGTCCTAACTCGAAATATCCCAATTCAGTCCTATAATGACAAAGTAGGAGAGCCCTACCTGTTTCATTTTATCCCGATCCTGAATATAAGAAAAATAGAAGGATGAGCTTGTAGCGCAAATAGCTTGAAAAAAATGAGACCAAACGCACAACGGTATAAAACTTGAACCCAAGGGCAAAAGCTTAATTCGATTTGTCAAAGTTGAAAAATGTATCCGTTTGTTGTGATTCAGGTTTAATACTATATGGGTCTAGTGAAGTCATTTTCTACTTTTTTTTTCAAAAACAAAAAGACATATTCCATGATTCTTCCTTTACTCCGATTATTTTTATTTTTTATTTTTTCCCGTCCCCTCACTCTGTCTTCTTCTTCTTCTGTAGCTAAGTAGCACCTTTTCAATGTTGACCTTAATGAAGCCATTCGTTTCCTTCTTTTCTTTAATTGATGCAAATTGAAGGGATTAGTGAAGACTTAAGAAGCGTTTAAGCTTCCACAGCTAGATTCTTTCTTCTCTTTGAAGCTGCTCGCCTCTACAGTGTGTGAGGCGGCTTAAAGAAATACGGTGTGAAAGAAAAAAGAAAGAAAAAAATAAGAGAAAAGAATGGGGTTGTTGATTCCAGGTACCAGGCCGCATCTGCACAAGTCTGGGAAGGGCGTATCTTCAAGATGTGTTTTCTTGCTTTGCATTTCCAGCTTTTGCTTCGGCGTTCTTCTTGTTAACAGGTTGTGTTTTCTGCTTTTTTTCCATACTTCGATTTTCTGGAGTGGGGTTCTTTGATCTTCTCCACTTATAGGACCCAATTTGTGGATTTGGATTATTGCAATATCTACCCACTTCATATGACTTGCTGTTTGTTGATTAGTTTTTAAGAGGGGGTCTTTTTTTAGAAGCCCAGATTAGGGCTTCAGAAGATGCTTTTCTGATTTAGTGATTCAAAGCCTCATTTTGTTTTTGGAAGTCTTCTGTTTGATGTATCTTTGTGGAGAAACATTTTGTGTGCTCAATTTTTATAAGAACAAAGAATAGGCAGTGGGTTTAATTCAAAATCTTGCAATTCACATCAACCCGGATCCGTCGTAGTTTAGATTTTACATACAAAGTCAAATCTTGTTTTGATTAGCATGTGAGAATTTTTTTGGGCCTAAAGCACGAAGTGGAATCCGAATTCTATTTATTGATGAATAAAGTAAATATTTTCTTGAATGTTTCTGTCAGGTTTTTGTCGGTGCGTGATTCTGTTGTAACATTAAAAGAGGGGGTTCCTCCAAAACAGCTCAATTCAGGAGATTCTCTTCCTTCTTTAAAGTGCCGACGTAATAAGGCAAGTCCGGTTGATGAATAGAGTTCTCCATACTTTAAAACTTCTCCTTCTTGAAGGCGCTCTTATTTATTGTAGGAAGTTTTTTTTCTTTCAGGAAAGAGATATCTTATCCCGGGTTTCACAAACACACAATGTGATCATGTAATTTTGTCATCGACTTTCTTCTATGTTAATCATAAGAGTATTTTTTCTCTGTTCTATCTAACACTGCTTCAATGTGGGTCAAACATGACCTTCAGGGAATTGGATAAAGCAATATCTTCACTAGAAATGGAGCTTGCTGCAGCCAGAGCAGCCAAGGCAGACAACGGGGAAGGAAAACTAGGGAGTGAACCCTCTTATGATCGCCCAAAATTATTTTTTGTGATGGGAATCATTACTGGTTTCAGCAGCAGAAAGCGGAGGGATTCAGTTAGAGAAACTTGGATGCCTAATGGTAAAGGTCCATTCTACAATTTCCTATCAGCTCCTTTGTAGACAATGTATGTTTTGGTTGTTCAATTTATTCTGAACTGTTTCAGGGGAGAATCTGAAGAAGTTGGAAAAAGAAAAAGGTATTATAATACGTTTTGTGATAGGCCAGAGGTAAGTTTTGTTAATTTAAGAAAATCCGATAATGTTTAAAGGCAATGTCTGTAGCAATTAATGAGATTGATTTTTTCACCATTTAGTTCTTCCCCTGGCGGCGTATTGGATCGTGCCATCGATGCTGAAGAAGCAGAACATAAAGATTTCTTGAGACTGGTACTAACTAATTTTGGTCCACATTCCATACCTTAAATTAAAATGTATCCAACAACCTGTCTTCATTGTTGTGATAAATTGCATTGTCCCCTTGCCTTGTATATGTTATGGAACTTTATGCAGAATCATGTAGAGGGATATCACGAATTATCCACAAAAACCCAAATCTACTTCTCAACCGCTGCTGCAAAGTGGGATGCTGACTTCTATGTCAAAGTTGATGATGACGTGCATGTGAATCTCGGTGAGGCTCCGGATTTATTCTCACCAAAATCCACAGTTCATGGCACTTTTAGACTATGCTTGGTTCTAGGAATTTCAAAGAGAAAAGAAAAGAAAAGTGGAAGGAAAAGAAAATGAGAAGGCAAAATGAAGTAAGAGGAGGGAAAACGAAATTCCTCCCATTTTGTTGAGGAAAATGAGAGAAAACTATTTTTTTTTCTTCCTAAATCCTTGAACCAAACATAGTGTTAATGGTGGACAAAATCATGTTATAGTTACTAAGTCAATTCAATAACCTCTGAACAGGTATAGTAGGTTCAATATTAGCTCGTCATCGTTCTAAACCTCGCATTTATGTTGGTTGCATGAAGTCTGGTCCGGTTCTAGCACAAAAGTAAGCCTGGTCCGGTTCTCGCTCAAAAGTAATGTACAAAGAAGTCCATTTACTCAATTATGTTATATGCAGAGGTGTTAAGTATCACGAACCGGAATACTGGAAATTTGGGGAGGAAGGTAACAAGTACTTTAGGCACGCGACTGGACAAATATATGCAATTTCCAAGGATTTGGCTACTTATATATCAATTAACAGGTACATTAATTAGTCTTTTTTAAATTCAAATGGTTTGAGCTTATATGTACAGTGTAATACCTTGTCGGAGAGACATGTAATCCAATGATATATTTGCTTAGAGGCATACTTCATAGATTTGCAAATGAAGATGTTTCACTTGGGTCTTGGTTTATTGGGCTTGATGTAGAGCATATAGATGACCGAAGCCTATGTTGTGGGACCCCCCCTGGTAAGTTTCCTGCTGATTTATACGGAGTAATACATTACTACTCTTCTCAACGAAGCTCATTTATTATCTAATTTACCTAAAGTTACCAAATCAGAGTGGCTTTGTTTATCATTGCTTTCTTTCGAATTTTTCTACTTATACCCCATATTTGTACCCCACTTTGTACCCCAAGGATTTGCCCTGACACAAAATGTTATTGTAACACTGGCATTATGCCTTTCTTTAACCTTCAAATAGTAAATGAGTTGCTGTGCGGTGTGTGCTTGTGTCTTACATTTTGCAGGCACAGTCAAACATCTCTATAACAACATTTCACTTTGACAGTCATATTTTTCTATATATGAATTTTTTATGTTACTTTTTATCTTTCTATAATAGCATTCTGTCTATAAAAGCAACATCCATATCTAGTCCAGTACACTCTTTGTAAAATTATCTTTATAACTGCATTTACAAAATATATATTTAATATACTAACTATCAAGCAAAAATATTCCCGCAATTGCTTTTTATGCCATTTGTAAGTTTCGTAAAATATTTTTGCAATCCTTAGTAATGTTTTCCGTGTATAAATTCATGATAGAGGATTAAAGAAACTATTTTTATAGAGAGGGTTGACTGTCTAAAGCTTTTATTTCACATAACAAACAGATAACTTTATCTTGACCCCACTGGAGCTCTGGTTATTATGTCTTAAAAACAGAATGATTGTTTTTTTTAATAAAAAAGTTAACAACCCCAAGCAGATAAAAATGTGATTGCCAATATAACTTTTGTTGTTTGCTTTGGGATGAAGATTGCGAGTGGAAGTCCCAGGCAGGGAATCTGTGCGGGGCATCGTTTGATTGGAGCTGTAGCGGAGTGTGTAAATCGGTGGAAAGAATGGAAGAGGTACACCAGAGATGCGGAGAGGGTGATGGAGCAATCTGGCATACCAGCTTTTGATCCAACCAAAAAACTTTCTGACTTGTGCTCTTTGTTGTTGGAACGAAAGAATGTATATGCTCGTTCGCAGCAATCCGAAACCGGGTACTTCATTTTTGTGCCATTTTTTGTACTACTACTACTACTACATATATGTGT